TTGTGGCAAAGAAAAGATACATCTCAGCCACAGTTGTCTCCTTCCACTGGTGTAGACGTGATTTTGGTGAAAGTATTGTGTTTGCCATGGTGTACTCGTAGTATCTGTTGCTTTCCCTGACAATAATTTCCATCAGGGGTTCATCAAAGAATAACTCCAAACATTCCAGTTCACTGGCATTGTTTCCTAGTGTACAACATGGCCGTATCCCACTTTGGCTTTCGTCAAACTGGTGGGGATTTGGAACAAAATTGACAGCTTCCTGCCAATCCCAGGTGCGGTCTGCTGGGGGTACTGGACATTGACAGGTGGGTGTGGTTGTGGAGTTGGTAGTTGTGGAGGTTGTGGTTGTGGAGGCTGGTGTGGTGGGTGGGCGGGGGATGGTGGCCTTCGTTGTAGGTCAGCTGAGGCAGCGGCATGGGTGGCAGCATGGTCCACTGCTGGTGCCTCACGGCCGGCACCACCATGCACATTTTCCATCCCAACTGCAACACTATCATCTTCATTTTCACTGTTCCTGTTTTACAGCCACGGGATGTACACCTTCCCCTTGGAATAGCATATGGCACACTACCAGAGTGCATATATCGTTGTATATACTGACATTTCACTGGAGAATATTCCACTTCACTATCACTATTGGAACTGGTTTCAAGAGCTTGTAGTTCATATTCACTATAACTATCATCACCAATGCTCACATCTGAGTTCAGGATTTGGGAAAAATAGGAGTTTCCTCTTTGATTCTGGTACAACTGAACGTGAACAAGACGGCCCATCAGCAGAGGTGGAAGGCTGAGGGTCGTCTGGGTTTTCCTCACTATTACCGATATTATGGTCATTAGTTTCGGTCACAACCTCACCAAAACCTTGAAAAACTCATCTTCACTGGCACTTCCATCTGTATTAGAACTGTCACTGGGGAACAAAAGTGTCCCAATTCGCCGAGGAGTGAGGAGCTTCTTACCGCGAGGCATGGTGAGCAAGGTCTACTAAAATGGCGTTGCCACAATGCGCCACTGGGTCCCAGATTCTTTTTTACCACACGCACCCATTCTCTCACATCTAGGCCTACCAGCCTTTTCCCGCGAGATTTGAAGGCGCTAGAATTTATGCGTACTAGTACGTCAAAAACCCTGGCGCGTAAGCCATACTAGTACGGCCGAAACCCTGAAAGGGTTAAGCATCATATGTTGCTTTAGACACAGCTTGCAGAGCAGTGCTTCTAGACATGTCTGGGTCACTCTTGGTGAGAAATTCTGCAGCTTTACCAATAAGATGGATGAAGTCACACCACCTGTAATGTTAACTGTTTATCTCTAAGTTCCACTTCCTAATAATCTTCATTTAGTTGCCTCTCTCTCTCTCTTTCCTAGGAAAGAGAGAGAGGCAGTTGGTTCTTTGTCATTCTTTTGTAGCAGTTTATTTATGTCTTATTATGCATATCTTCAAAGAACTGACATCACACAGTACTTGCCAGAGCCAGTTTCCTAGACTTGACTCCTTACTGAGGGAAACCAGAGAAATTATTCACCACAGGCCATAATTGACTTTAGGCTTTATTTATGGTTGATTGGGTCACCTCTTTTCATGACACCTTTATGTAAGTGCAGTTAACGTACTCACCAGTAAATTTCATGTTGTCAAGCAGATGACGTTTTTAAAGTTTTCAAGCCATCCATTATTAAACATACATTGTAGTGAGACTCTCCTTCCCTCTCTCACACAGTGTTATAGTATGATAGAGCTTTGTGCTTTATTATCCAAGTGGTGCCTCTATTTTCTCCTCAGTCCATAGATTCAGTAATTTTTCTGTCATATATAGCTACAGTACTATATTGACCTCTTTGTCATTCATTTCAGCAAGTCACTACTCATTACACAAGGTCTTATTTTGTCCTCATTGATTCTAATTGTCTGTCACTAATATCTTTATCCCCATCTAGTTCAGTGGTTGTATAATAGATATAATTTGTGGAAAAAAAAAACCACCCTTAACATTTGGGGTCGAGAGACTGCAAGATTTGAGAATTTTGAATGAAAGAGTCTTGGCACAGGCAAATCTTGACTGAAGGAATAAAATAATGCTTGAACCACTCAATAAACTGTCTTGTTTGAATGCCAGACAACAGGCAAATTAGTGTTGTCTTTGTTTTTTAATGCTTAAATTGTGTCTGACATATGCCCTATATCTGGGAAATAGGCTGTGTCTTAACCCTTTCAGGGTTTTTGATGTACTAGTATGTCTTATGCGCCAGGGTTATTGGCATACTAGTACACATAAATTCTAGCGTCCTCAAATCAAGCAGGAAAAGGCTGGTAGGCCTTGATGTGAGAGAATGGGTCTCCGTGGTCAGTGTGCGTGGTACAAAAAAAATCGGGGACCCATTGGTGCATTGTGGGAAAGCCATTTTAATACACCTTGTTCACCATGTCTAGCACTCAGAAACTCCTCACTCCTCGGCTAATTGGGGCTCTTTTGTTCCCAAGTGACAGGTCAAACACAGATGGAAGTGTCAATGAAGATGAATTTTATGGTTTTGAGGAGTTTGTGACTGAAAGCAATGCCCCGGGAAACCAGAAGGAAGGAAGAAAGGAAGAGATGAGAGGAAGGAAGGAAGGAGACCATCAACCTGGGATAACCCAGAAAATTCAGACAGTGACTTATTTCCATGTGGGTTGGTGGGGTGGGGAGGAAGGGATGAGTGTTGACAGGCAGTGAGGGTGGTGAGTGATGGTGTTATTTGTCATTGTGACACTAATTATGCCAGTGACTCAGCATATTTACAAGTCCACCCCCACACAATAACTACAAGCTTCACAGAAGCTGTAGCAGTTCTGGGAAGTGTCCAGTGACTTTATATGTGTATATATGTGATAGAAAAATAGTAATAAACAACATTTTTTATTGTTGGTTTGTGTAAACATGTTTTGCAAACAATATAATGACTGTTTGTGCAGTTATTGTGTAGCATACAATGAGTGAATATACATTCGATATACCTTATATTGGTCTCACAGGCCATAAAAGTTACTTGAAGGAAGAAAGAAAGGAAGGAAGAAGTAAGGAAGGAAGGAGGGAAGGTAGGTAGGAAGGAAGAGATGAGAGGAAGGAAGGAAGGAAGAAGGGAAGGTAGGCAGGAAGGAAGAAGAAAGAAAGGATGGAAGGTAGGTAGGGAGAAGGAAAGGTAGGTAGGAAGGAAGAGATGAGAGGAAGGAAGGAAGAAGGGAAGGTAGGCAGGAAGGAAGAGATAAGAGGAAGAAAGGAAGGAGGGACAGTAGGTAGGAAGAGATATGAGGAAGGAAGGATGGAAGGTAGGTAGGAAGGAAGGAAGGGAGGTTTGTGGGGAGGAAGGGATGTGTTGTGGAAGGCAGTGAGGTTAGTGAGTGGTGGTATGATGCATCACTGTGACACAAGACACACCAGTGACTCAGCATATTTACAAGTCCACCCCCAAACTACAAGCTTTCAGAACCTCTTGTAGTTATAGGAACCTGTCCAGTGACTCTATATGTGTATATATATGATAAAAAATAGTAATAAACAACATTTTTATTGTTGGTTTTTATTGCTGACCCCCGGAACTCTCTCCAGGTAAATCATGTTTTGTAAACAATATAATGATAGCAAAGTTTGTGCTGTTATTGTGTAGTATACAATGAGTGAATATATACCAAATAGTCTTTATATTGGTCTCAGAAGCCATAAAAGTTACTTGAAAAAATAAATTAAATAAAAGAAAAAAGCAGAAAAAACAAAATACGTAAACTATTACCAGGTGACCGGCAGTCGGCGATGTTGCCGTAAGCGGTTCAATTTCTGTCAACTTCACGCCTCCATATCTCCATAAGTATTGATTGCAAAAAAAAAATTTTTTGGTCTATAATACGTACTCACAAAAATCTATCATTTCATAAGAATTTTTTTTTTCGAATATTTTTCGACCCTGAGAACAAGTTTGGGAGAGGGCCTGTTGACCCTGAAAGGGTTAATGTACACTGTACACTGATATTTTGTGCTTTGAAATTTTTCCATTAGCTGCCATTTTAAGTCTCAGCTCAACTGTTTGAGTCACCTACCACCCAGATCCATCTATGACCAGGCAGGTCCATGCAGTGCATTACGAGTAACTGCCTCAGAAGCACAGGTATCTACAAGTTCCTCTGCTCAGGCTGTGACAAAAACTGCATAGAAGAAACAATGTAAACACATGGGTTGTCAAACACAAGTAATCATTTGTGTTTGTATATAACTCACAATTTCAACAATGAATGTGTCATTCATATTAAGAAACAGTCACCTCACGAGCTGGAATGGGGCCAAACTTATTAAAGAAAAAATAGGGCAAGAAGACATTCTGCAGCAGCTATGATTCATACCATTAACACCATTGGTCAAAAATCAAGGTATACTGTCTCTCCAACCCTTTTGCTTAACTCATCTTACATGAGCACACCAGAGATGGGTCCATGTTACCCCACCTTTCAGGTGCACCACAGCTTCATAAAACTAATACTACATACCCCTCATCATTCTTACACTCCCACCTTCTCACCTTATAGAATAAAATGGTGATAACTATGACCATAATTTTTAAAGAGGTGGACCAGTAAGCCAGTGGAAGGCCTTGGTCAAATGACCAAAAACTTCAGCAGTGGGTCATCATCTGACTAAAACCTGCATCAGGAAACTTGTCCTGTTTCCTGATGAACCTTATCTAACCTTTACTGTAAAGTATATTAAAATCCTGTGAACTATATACTGTTCTCTTCACCAGAGTTGAGAGTTAAAAATGTAATACAAAGTGTGCTAAAGAGTGGTACCATCGCCTTGTGACTAGGTGTATTGGTTAGTATTGTACTCTGAAGAAACAGGTTACTCATCTGTAAATAAGGTTCAGAACAAACGAAAGGGCACACTGACATTATTGCCAAAGTAAATTATAGATTTTTCATTTACCAGAAAATGCTTGGTACATAAATTACTACTTCTTTTACAGATATGCTATCTACGTAGCAAATTATTCAAGAGGGAAGCTTGGTACCCATTCTCTAACAGAAATGGCTGAACTGCTGAATGACCCTTTTGGATTTAGTACCTTTCATGATTATTATCATCTAATAGAAATGGACGAGAGCTGCAGTGATGTAGCTAATGGTGTTGTGGCACTGAGAAATGTTGCTCATGAGGCTGGTGTTGCCCAGCTCACAGGTAAAGTTCTTACTCTGCAGTAGTGCACACCTCCACAACCTAGCTCACAGGTAAGGTTCCCACCATGCAGTACAGCACACCTCCACAACCCAGCTCACAGGTAAGGTTCCCACCATGCAGTACAGCACACTTCCACAACCCAGCTCACAGGTAAGGTTCCCACCATGCAGCAGTTCACACCTCAACAACCCAGCTCACAGGTAAGGTTCCCACCATGCAGTAGTTCACACCTCGACAACCCAGCTCACAGGTAAGGTTCCCACCATGCAGTAGTTCACACCTCAACAACCCCATCACTACATTTACTAATCAGGGAAGGTACCGTGTTGCTGGTGAAGATTTTTGGTCCATGGAATTGAAGTCATTCGTCCTCAAATCAACCCATATTCTAGGCACTATATAACCCCTATGGATCTAGCACGTCACCATAAAAAATATATATAAAAATAAATGTAATAAAAAGTAATAGTCATAATAATAAATTCTGGACATTTTTGCATACAGTATTTTTTCCACTGATGCTCTCCAGTTGCCTAAACACATTCATATATCATTTCATCATTCTTTTGATGCCCCCTCTTTACATATACTTTTTTGTTAGTTTCACTACATTCCTTATCTTGTTTCAGAATCAGAATTTTAAAGAATATAGTGCTTAGGTACTTACATAAAATACAAAAATTAATATTTATGTTAAGATTTTTTTAAAACTCATATCATGTGCAGGGCACTGATGGGAGTATGAAGGGTGATCTGCACAACTAATTCAGTGGGGTGAGACATTGACAGTAATGGTTCTTGTGTTTCAACTTCAGTGTTTTAAATTGTACTAAATTGTAATACTGTATTTTTTTATATACTATTTGAAAACTGTAATTCTTCTTTACCGAACTTATTAGAGCGACATAGCATGAACTAGTTGAATGTTCAGTTTTCTTGTATTCACTATAACTCACCTAATAACCATATGAACAATTACAGCACTCTTATTGCCTTATTAATCTTAAGTTAGTCTCAAGTATGCCCGAAATGCTCTGCATATAAAGGAGCTTTTGGCATGTTCATCAAATTGTTACACTTCTTTGTACAAACATGTATCATGCTAAAATAAAAACTGTTATTGTATTGTTGAGATGTAGAGTTACTGATAGCACATTGTGTGTTTCAACAGCAGGGCTCCATCAGATGGCCAAACTTCTGACCAACCACATACATCCTCACTAAGAGGGAGCAGTAGCCAATGATTTTTGGCCACCTTGCTTAGATTGCTTGGCAACCATGAGTGAGTGTGAGAGAGTAAGAGTGAGAGAGAGCTAGAGTGAGAGCTAGAGCTAACTAGCCAGCCCGCACTCTACCGCCAGAGCTATGGGGCTTCTATTCTAAAACAGGGAAGCCCTGTAGCTCAGGCAGTAAAGTGTTCTGGACCCGTTACTCCCAGGACCACATTTCAAGCCTCCTGTCCATCTTTCTGTTTATTCATTTACAGTTGTTTTTTATAAATTAATCTGGGTTCACAGACTGTGTGGGTTTGAGGAGGTAAGAACAGATTTACTGCTAAAGCTGTTGGGCTGAAGGGGAGAACATTTGGGTTGCAGTTGGTGTCTGACGGAAAACATGTATGGAAGTACTGTTTCCGATTCTTTCCTATTTTAGAAGCCCTGTAGCTCAGGCAGTAGAGTGCTGGACCTGTTAATCTCGAGACCAAAGTTCATGCCTCCCATCCATCTTTCTGTTTATTAATTTACAGTCATTTATTGCGATAATTCTAACACAATGTACAAGAAAATCTTAAGATATTAGAATTCATTCAGGGTGTGATACCTCTTGAAACATGGAAAAGTTAAACTGTTAGTTTACTTAGGTTATCCTACTTTAAAAATATACATACAATGTATTATACTTTAATGTGACCATAATATCTGTGTGCCCTCAAGAACATTATAAAAAAAAATACTGTATACAGCCTCTTCTCACTTAGTGATGTACTTGATTACCGACGCCTCGGACTCATGACAGGCTTTCTGACCAGTATTCATACCTAAATAATGTATATTAGAGCTTATTTCCTCTGTTCTGTTTATTTCAATATACAGTACACTACACTGTATAAACATTTAAAAATATACCAGAAATGTTATAAATGGTGCAAAGGTGACATTAAAACAACATCAAAGATGGTTGCTACAAACTCACTACTGTTATGGTATGCTCCTCACTTAGCAACAAATTCATTCAGGAACAGAACTCCATCATTAAGTGAGGAGAGGCTGTATGTATTCTCTTTACACAAGCCTAAATGAAAGCAGATGCATGGTGGCATGTCACACCTGGTACCTGTCTTGCCGTGTCACTGTTATTCGTGCTGCATTACATGGAGTTGCAAGCTCTACATTTTTTCTGGGCACAACAAGGTAGCAGGACACCCAGGCAGTTGAGCCGAGTCAAAAAATGGCACACCACGGCAAACTTGAGGCCTACAAAAATTTGCATACAGTATTATATACATGCATTATGTACAGAGAAGTCCCGTGTATATATGTACATATATGTCATCCACATTTAAAGGGTTAGTTAATCACAACAGAATTTCACCATATGAAATGACATCATGGTTAGATAGAAACTGAGGGACAGGTAATTTCTACTCTATATTGTAAGTGAAAGATATCCTTCTAACACTTCACTTGTGTCAGTAATGGATCTCCTGCAGTTTTTGTTGTATTTAACTCTACTCAAAGAAAGGATTTAGGAAGATAACATTTTTACCCTGGTTTGCATTCTTTTTCTCACAAAACACAGTAATGTTTTGAATTTTTTATTTTCAGGCTCACAAGGCCATTACAGTAACTGGATTGTGTTTCCTTAGGTGGACGTGGAGTTACAGTGGGCCCCATTCTTAGTAAGGATGGCAGGAGTGACATCTTTTGCAAGAATGAGCATGGCCCCAATTTTTTATTCAAGAATAATGGAGATGGTACTTTCACTGATGTTGCAGCTGAATCAGGTAAGATGGAAGTAGTTGTGGTAACTAATGACCAAGTGAACTATTATTGCCTTCCTAATCTTAAGTTAATTTTTTAAGTTTGCCTGAAATGCTCTGCAAACTAAGGGGCTTTTGCCATGTACACCCAACTATTATCTTCCTTTGTACAACCATTTATCATGTCAAAATAAACTTCTTATTCTTATAACTTTTTGCATTGAACAGGAGGTATCCCTTCTATAATTATGAGAAACTGAGAACAATTCATCACTGGACTTTAAATTAATCATGATGTCTCATTCATATTTACATTCCCATGTACTGCCTTTACACTTCACAATACAGTCAAGCCCTGCTTATACGGCAGGTTAGGTTCCGGACTACTGCTGTAAAGCAAAAATCATTGTAAAGTGAAACAGTCTTTTTTCACTTTCAAATGCACATAAAAGCCTGATAACGTGTTTACATTTTCATATACATGTTCAGTGAGCAATAGAGCTAACCCTAAAAAATACATATACAGTATACACATACTTACCTTAAAATATCTTCATTCTTAGTTTATAGAGTGAGTGCTGAATACAGTATATTTATTGTAGGAAGTCTGAATAAATGAAGAATGGATATAATTGAAAACTGCTGCATTAGTGAAATGCCATAAAGCGAAGTGCTGTATAGCAGGGCCCTCCTGTACTGTGTTTCAGTTTTAAGCTCTTCGTCATATTTATATTTACACTCTCGTACTACCCTTACACTTCTTAATATTGTTTAAGTTTATGTATCATTACCAATAACAAGAATAATGAGACCACCGCTACCATCAACACAAACACTACAACTAGCAATGACACCACAACCATCTAAAACAATGATACAAACAACAACAATAATAATGTCCCTGCTACCACCACCAAATAACAATTCCCTAAACTTTCTTGGAACACAGCAGATTACCTCCTATTCCCAAGTCATTCTAATTCTGGGGGCTGAACACTAGCAAGGCCAATGTCAAAATTAAGAATTTTAGAAAAATATTTCTGAGAGTTTGTGCACCTCACAAATTTGGCAAGACAAAGAAGTCAGGAGTATTTTTCTCACTTAAATCTAAATAAATCACCTTTTAATTGGTGGTAGTTAAAAAATGATGATACCTTTCTGAATGAAAAAATAAAGTAAATAAAAGCATACTTGAGACACTGGCTCTTTTTCCATTAACATTCAAGAGTTTTGTCTAAATAAAATTCAAATTTATCATTGAAATATAACATGTAATAAACCTAACAAGTCAATTGGGACAAGAAATCACACATTGTGGTCATCATCTAAATATCATTGTCTGCTCCAGTGTCTTCTGCCTGTAGACTTCTGTGGAAATATCTTCTTTCTTTTGGAATAAGCAGATCAAACAAGTCCTTCACCTTATTTGTTGGGAGTTTCTGTGGTCCATCTTCCAGCTGTGGTAGGATCCAGTTAGGTGTCTTTCATTTTACTGTCTTCCTGGAGTGTAGCATCTTGATGGAAAATGTTCAGCAGGTTTTCTGTCCAGCTGATGTGGGTCATAGATTGTTACCTTTATCTTCATCCAATTTAATAGTTCTCTGGCAGTGTCTTTGTGATGATTCAGAGGGCCATTACACAAATACAGGTTCAAGAACTAAAAGAAGTCAAGTCACTGCATGCATTTTTGTCACTTGAAGTTTGCTTTTCTGATGGTTGTGATCCAGTCGCTTGGGCTGTCAATATTGATACTAGTTGATTTCATTTCTTTTTTTGTATAATTTTTAAATTTTTCAGACAGAACACATATATAAGCAGGCAGCTAATAGATAGGTTTTGTTCTAGCCAGGGTACAAGTCACTAAAGTGCCTTATAATATATCTTTATGTTGTTTGGCAGGCTATTTATCCATATCCTTAGACATGATTATATTTCTTGGCCACTTATGCATAACATGTACACCACACTTTGCCCTCAAACATGACATCTCTTCTGCCTTCAGCCTCTTCCTCTCCGCAACATTCAAAAACCATGCTTCACATCCATATAACAATGTTGGTACCATTATTTTCTGGTACATTTTCTTTTTTTTGCATCAATGGATAAAGTTCTTTATGTCCACAGATGCTTTAATGCACCACCTGCCTTTTCCCCTTCATCAGTTCTGTGGTTCACCTCATCTCATACAGAACCATCTGCCAACAAGTCCACTCCCAAATATCTGAGGGTGGAGTAGGGGTCATCCTAGGAAAGGTTGGAGGGAGGGGGGTAAAGGAGGTTTTGTGTGCAAGGGGCTTGGATTTCCAGCAAGCGTGTGTGAGCATGTTAGATAGGAGTGAATGGAGACAGATGGTTTTTGGGACCTGACAAGCTGTTGGAGTGTGAGCAGGGTAATATTCTGTGAAAGGATTCAGGGAAACCAGTTAGCCAGACTTGAGTCCTGGAGATGGGAAGTACAATTCCTGCACTTCAAAGGAGGGGTTTGTGATATTGGCTGTTTGGAGTGACATCAAAGCTGTCATATCTAAGTGCCTCTGCAAAGACAGTGATTATGTATGAATGATGGTGAAAGTGTTGAATGATGATGAAAGTTTTTTCTTTTTTTTTTCAGGTCACTCTATACCTTGGTGGGAAATGACCAACATGTTATAAAACAAAATTTACTTCCTCCATACTCCTTCCTTCCAATCTCTCATTGCCTATATTTTTTGATACTCGTGTCACCTTGCTCTTTCCTATGGTCACTTTTTAATTTCCTTCTTTTTCATACTTTTCTAAATTCATTTACCAACTTTTGCAACTGTTCAGTAGAATCTCCCAAAAGTACCTTCTAATTGGCAAAGCAGCAGCTGCGACAACTCCCACTCTGCACCAGATTTGCTTTCTTTCAATCCCACATCTCTTCCCAACACCCTAGTATTCACTTCTTTTACAACCCCATCTATAAATATGTTAAACAACCATGGTGACATCACACATCCTTGTCTAAGACCTACATACGTACCCAAACCTGAACCTCACCTGAACATAAAAGCACTTTATTGTTTTAAGTAACCTACTGCCTATTCCATACATTTACAACATCTGCCACATTGCTTCCCAATCCACCCTATCATATGCCTTTTCTAAATCCATAAATTCAATGAAAAGTTCCTTACATTTATCCAAGTTGACTTACCCAAAATTCTTTTAATAATAACTCTGCCATACAATTTTCCCTGGTATATTCAACAGGCTTATTTCCCTATAATTCTGACTCTCTCTTTTATCCCCTTTTCCCCTTATACAAAGGAACTATGCATCCTCTCTGCCAATCCCTAGGTGCCTTTCCCATTTTATGCATATATTGAACAAATGCTCCAACCAATCCAAAACTATATCCCCATCTGCTTTTAACATCTGTCTTAATTGCATTTATCCCAGCTGCTTTACCCTTTCATTCTACCCAGTGTCTCACACACCTCCCTCACACTCACATTTAGCTCTTCCTGAATCCTAAAACATGTTATACCTTCCTGCCCACTGTGGAAATTGTGAAAATGTAAGTTTATTTTATTTTACATGTAATCAGATCTCATTTTACTCTGATAAATGACATGTTCTTATATTGTACACTTACAGAAATATTTGTTTTGTCTCTATTATACAAAGCAACTTTACTGACAGCATATGATTTAAGCTTTTGTATTTTAGGTATTTCTGATGCATACGAGCATGGTGGCGGGGGAGTAATGCTCACTGATTTTGATGGTGATGGTAAATTAGATATTATTTATGGTAACTGGAATGGCCCACACAGAATATTTCTTCAAACAACTGATGATGAGGGTCATCCCAGATTTAGGGTAAGTTACATATTCTACTTAATACTATAGTTTCAGTTATACACACACTATAACAGTCACTTATTATCATATATTAGTTGAATAATTATATTTTCTCTGCTAATGTTATCACTTGTATTGAATAATTATCTCAGCAATTACCATATTTTACAGTGTTGAAGATGCTATTTTTTCCCAAGACTCGAAAATTTGCCCAGCATCCTGAAGGCCGAAGGTTACATTGCTCAAAGGCCCCAACTTATGCCTAGAGAAGTGTTTCGATACTAAATAGTAACTGAAGTTCCTGTATATGACCAAATAATGAATTGTGTAAATAACCACAGAACGAACCATCAACATACATGTTTTTTACATGTAGTAATGCCTCAGGCTTATCATAATGTTATCACTGGTAGTGATTCACCTATTCCAGAGTAAATACAGCCTCTCCTCACTAAACAACAGAGTTCCATTCCAAAGACCACACTGGTAAACAAATTCATCGCTAAGTGAGGAGCATATTATGATGGTAGTGGGTTTGTGTCAACCATATTGTTTTAATGTCACCTTTGCAGTATTTATAACATTTCTGGTATATTTTTAAATGTTTTTACAGTGGTGTACTGTATATTGTAATAAAAAGAATAGAGGAAATCAGCTCTAATATACATTATTTATGTGTGCACACTGGTCAGAGCCCATCATAAGTCCGAGTCGTCAGTAAACGAGTACATCGCTAAGTGAGGAGAGGCTGTATTAGTTATGAATTACAGCTTAGTTGTTGACAAATACCAAGTTGCAGAACTGGAGTATCATATCCATAGGATCAGTGGATACCGTACCATATCAGTAGGTGAAAGGGTGCATTTTCTGTATCCCACATCCATGGCATTTTGAATTTTTTTTCTTACCTAGCAAAAATAATACAGTAGAACCTTGACTTACAAGTGTCCCAGCATATGAATTTTTTGAGATATGAGCTGTCACTTGGTCGAGTTTTTGCTCTGTGATACTTGCCAACATTAGAGTTACAAGTGAGCTTCCCCCGCTTCCCCTTCAACCCACAACCTGCACACCTTTCTTGTTTATCTATGATTTCATGCTTTAATTCCATGGACATCATCCTCTCTTTCTGCTCAGCACTGTCCTTTGCACTTACTTTCTTAGGACCCATGGTTAGAAAAAAGAAATTTGGCAAAATAACTGCACGAAATGCAAGCAAACATGAGAGAAATGCTTCCACAGCAAGGTAAACAGTGCACTGAGTTGGCAGCGTTCTGAAGCTCCTTGTTATTATTATTAATTTAGGGAATTGAAGCTTGCTTGTTATTATTATTATTATTATTATTACATATTATTATTGTTTTTAATTTTTTTTTTTTAACAAGTCGGCCGTCTCCCACCGAGGCAGGGTGACCCAAAAAGAAAGAAAATCCCCAAAAAAGAAAATACTTTCATCATCATTCAACACTTTCACCTCACTCACACACAATCACTGTTTTTGTAGAGGTGCTCAGAATACTGGAGCACAGATTCAATTCCCTAGATCAAGAGCCCCTCACCCCTCATGCTGGTGAGGGGCTCTTGATCTAGGGAATTGGATCTGTGCTCCAGTTCCAAAAATTAATAATAATAATAATAATAATAATAATAATAATAATAATAATAATAATAATAATAATAATAATAATAATAATAATAATGAGCGAGTTTCAGTACATCGCCACTAGGTGGCACAGGGAACGCCACAAAATCATCTGAGCTGTGCATGTGTTTATATCACCGTGGAAGCATTTCTCGTGTTATTATTGCCAAATTCCTTATTTCTAACCATGGGCCCTAAGAAAGTAAGTGCAAAGGACAGTGCTGAGAAGAAAAAGAGGATGAAGTTCATGGAATTACAACATGAAATCATAGATAAACAAGCGAGGTGTGCGGGTGGCAGTAAGAGCTAGTAGCAAGTAGCCTATCTTCCACCCTCCACCTCTGCCAGTGTATGTACACTTTATAAAAACCAGTTTATTTCTTTACATTCTTTATTATGTTTTTATACAATATTTCATATTTATAAATTGTACATTATTTCAGTGTTTTTTTTTTATTATCACACTGGCCGATTCCCACCAAGGCAGGGTGGCCCAAAAAAGAAAAACTTTCACCATCATTCACTTCATCACTGTCTTGCCAGAAGGGTGCTTTACACTACAGTTTTTAAACTGCAACATTAACACCCCTCCTTCAGAGTGCAGGCACTGTACTTCCCATCTCCAGGACTCAAGTCCGGCCTGCCGGTTTCCCTGAACCCCTTCATAAATGTTACTTTGCTCACACTCCAACAGCACGTCAAGTATTAAAAACCATTTGTCTCCATTCACTCCTATCAAACACGCTCACGCATGCCTGCTGGAAGTCCAAGCCCCTCGCACACAAAACCTCCTTTACCCTCTCCCTCCAACCTTTCCTAGGCCGACCCCTACCCCGCCTTCCTTCCACTACAGACTGATACACTCTTGAAGTCACTCTGTTCGCTCCATTCTCTCTACATGCCGAACCACCTCAACAACCCTTCCTCAGCCCTCTGGACAACAGTTTTGGTAATCCCGCACCTCCTCCTAACTTCCAGACAACGAATTCTCTGCATTATATTCACACCACACATTGCCCTCAGACATGACATCTCCACTGCCTCCAGCCTTCTCTTCGCTGCAACATTCATCACCCATGCTTCACACCTATATAAGAGCGTTGGTAAAACTATACTCTCATACATTCCCCTCTTTGCCTCCAAGGACAAAGTTCTTTGTCTCCACAGACTCCTAAGTGCACCACTCACCCTTTTCCCCTCATCAATTCTATGATTCACCTCATCTTTCATAGACCCATCCGCTGACACGTCCACTCCCAAATATCTGAATACATTCACCTCCTCCATACTCTCTCCCTCCAATCTGATATCCAATCTTTCATCACCTAATCTTTTTGTAGATGAATGGTTAAGAGAACCGACATGTTGATAAATTAGACACATGTGCAACTCTTGGGTATCTTTATTGAGGAAACGTTTCGCCACACAGTGGCTTCATCAGTCCATACAAAGGAGAATCTTGAAGAACAGGAGGAGAATGAGGTAATCAGTCCCTCAACCTTGAGTCGATGTGGTCAGTCCATCAATCTTGAATAGAATACGGCATACGTGCTGAGAAGGAGCTTATAAACCGTTGGCAGGAGAGGTGCAGCAGTCATAGGTCGCGTAACATTTGTTCAATGTTGAAGTAGGTCGTGCCCAAGAATTAGGCAAGCGAAGAATTCCCAACTTCTGCAACTTCTTGGGATCTTAATACTTGGGAATTCTTCGCTTGCCTAATTCTTGGGCACGACCTACTTCAACATTGAACAAATGTTACACGACCTATGACTGCTGCACCTCTCCTGCCAACGGTTTATAAGCTCCTTCTCAGCACGTATGCCGTATTCTATTCAAGATTGATGGACTGACCACATCGACTCAAGGTTGAGGGACTGATTACCTCATTCTCCTCCTGTTCTTCAAGATTCTCCTTTGTATGGACTGATGAAGCCACTGTGTGGCGAAACGTTTCCTCAATAAAGAAACCCAAGAGTTGCACATGTGTCTAATTTATCACCTAATCTTTTTGTTATCCTCATAACCTTACTCTTTCCAGTATTCACTTTTAATTTTCTTCTTTTGCACACCCTACCAAATTCATCCACCAATCTCTGCAACTTCTCTTCAGAATCTCCCAAGAGCACGGTGTCATCAGCAAAGAGCAACTGTGACAACTCCCACTTTATGTGTGATTCTTTATCTTTTAACTCCACGCCTCTTGCCAAGACCCTCGCATTTACTTCTCTTACAACCCCATCTATAAATATATTAAACAACCACGGTGACATCACACATCCTTGTCTAAGGCATACTTTTACTGGGAAATAATTTCCCTCTTTCTCTTTCCTACATACTCTAACTAGAGCCTCACCATCCTCGTAAAAACTCTTCACTGCTTTCAGTAACCTACCTCCTACACCATACACCTTAAACATCTGCCACATTGCCCCCCTATCCACCCTGTTATATGCCTTTTCCAAATCCATAAATGCCACAAAGACCTCTTTAGCCTTATCTAAATACTGTTCACGTATGTGTTTCACTCTAAACACCTGGTCCACACACCCCCTACCTTTCCTAAAGCCTCCTTGTTCATCTGCTATCCTATTCTCCGTCTTACTCTTAATTCTTTCAATAATAACTCTACCCTACACTTTACCAGGTATACTCAACAGACTTATCCCCCTATAATTTTTGCACTCTCTTTTGTCCTTTTTGCCTTTATACAAAGGAACTATGCATGCTCTCTGCCAATCCCTAGGTACCTTACCCTCTTCCATACATTTATTAAATAATTGCACCAACCACTCCAAAACTATATCCCCACCTGCTTTTAACATTTCATATCTTTATCCCATCAATCCGGCTGCCTTACCCCTTTCATTTTACCTACTGCCTCACGAACTTCTCCCACACTCACAACTGGCTCTTCCTCACTCCTACAAGATGTTATTTCTCCTTGCCCTATACACGAAATCACAGCTTCCCTATCTTCATCAACATTTAACAATTCCTCAAAATATTCCCTCCATCTTCCCAATACTCTAACTCTCCATTTAATAACTCTCCTCTCCTATTTTTAACTGACAAATCCATTTGTTCTCTAGGCTTTCTTAACTTGTTAATCTCACTCCAAAACTTTTTCTTATTTTCAACAAAATTTGTTGATAACATCTCACCCACTCTCTCATTTGCTCTCTTTTTACATTGCTTCACCACTCTCTTAACCTCTCTCTTTTTCTCCATATACTCTTCCCTCCTTGCATTGCTTCTACTTTGTAAAAACTTCTCATATGCTAACTTTTTCTCCCTTACTACTCTCTTTACATCATCATTCCACCAATCGCTCCTCTTCCCTCCCGCACCCACTTTCCTGTAACCACAAACTTCTGCT